AAGAAAAAGCTAAAGGCTTTTTGTTACCACCAAATTTGTATTATGAGAAATGTTCAAGGGCCTGCTTTACTAACTAGCACTATTATTATTATTAGCAGTAGAAGAAGAAATAAAATGGAGGAATATAATTTCAAAACTAAAATGGCAATAAATATATACCTATCAAGGTTCACCTTAAATGTAATTAACATAAATGCTCAAATGAAAAGACATAGGGTGGCTGAATGGATAAGAAACAGTATCCGCATGCATGCTGTCTCCATGACCCACCTCAGAACTAAAGATACATACAGACTCAAATTAAAGGGATGTGAGAAGATATTTCATGAAAATGGAAATGAGAAAAAGCTGGGGTAGCAATACTTATATCTGACAAAATAGATTTTAAAAGGCAATAGTAAGAAACAAAGAAGGATACTACATAATAATAAAGAGAGCAATCCAACAAGAGAACATAAAGTTTGTACACATTTATGCACCTGAATATAAAAAGCAAATTTTGATGAATATAAAGGGATAAATCGACATTGATACAGTCATGCTAGGGTATTTTAAGACCCACTGACATAAACAGAACTTCCAGAAAGAAAATCAATAAAAAACAGTGACTTTAAATGACATATTATACCAGATTGGTTTAATTGATATCTTCAGAGAATTTCACCCCAAAGCAGCTGTATATACACCCTTTTGAGTGCACATGGACAATATTTTTAGGATAAACCAAATGTTAGCACACAAAACAAGTTTCAATAAATTTAGGAAGATTGAAATCACATCAGGCATATTCTCTGACCATAATAGTATGAAACGAGAAATCAATCACAAGAAAAAAAAACCTTAAAAATACACAAAGATATGGAGGCTAACGAGCATGTCACTAAACAATTAATGGGTAAGCAATAAGATCAAAAAAGAAATAAGAAACCTTGCAACAAATGAAAATGGGAACAGAACACAACAACCCCAAATCTATGGGACACAGAAAAAAGCAGTCTTAAGAGGGAAATTCATAGTATTATAAGACTACCTCAAGAAACAAGAAATATCTCAAATGAACAATATAACTTTACACTTAAAGAAATTGGAAAAAGAACAATAAACAAAGTCCAAAGTGAGTAGAAGGAAGGAAATAGTAAATATCAGAGCAGGGGTAAACAAAATAGAGTCTAGAAACAATACAAAAGATGTGGAACCTAGAGCTCTTTCTTTGAAAAGATAAACAAGATCAACAAACCATTAATCACACTCTAAGGAAAAAGAGAGGACTCAAATAAATAAAATTAAAAATAAAGAAAGATATAACAATGGACATAAAAGATATACTAAAGATTGTAAAAAAAATATTATGAACAACTCTATGCTAAAAAATTGGAAATCCAGAATAAATAAATTCTAGGAGCATACAATCTTCCAAACCTGAATCAGGAAGAATCAGAGAATCTGAATAGGCAGATTATAACTAGTTAAATTGAAGCAGTAATTTAAAAATACATTTAGTAAACAAAAATTCTGGACAGGATGGCTTCACAGTTGAATTTTACCAAACATTCAGAGAATAACTAACACCTATCCTTCTCAAACTATTGCCTTATCAAGAGGAGGCAAGACTCCCAAGCTGTTTTTATGAGGGCAACATTACTCTAATTCCAAAACCAGATAAAGACACTATAAAGAAAGAAAATTATAGGCCAATATCTCTCACAAGCATTGATTCTGAAATACCTAACAAAACATTAGCAAACCAAATCCAGCAATACATTAAAAAGGTCATACATTGTGATCAAGTGGGATTTATTCCAGGGATGCATTGTTGGTGTAATATCTTCAAATCAATAACTGTGATATACTGCATAAACAAAAATGAAGGATAAAAATCACATGATCATATAATAGATGCAAAAAAAAGCATTTTATAATATCCAGCACACATCTACACTATTAAAAGAGAAGCATGCAAATTGGCCGTCCCTCCGCTATGCCCACAAGCCAATCAGGAGAGAGTATGCAAATTAACCCAACAAAGATGGCAGTTAATTTGTATACACAGGTGCAGAACAAAGGCTGAGATAGCATAGAAGGAAGCCAAATACTGCAGAAGGGACCAAAGCAATAGAGAAGGGAGAGGGCGAGGCAGCGGAGAAGGGAGGAGGGTGAGGCAGCAGAGAAGGGAAGCCCGCCCACTGGGCTTCACTCTCTTCTCTGCTTCTCTCAGGCCGCAGGGAGACCTATTCTTGCAGGAATCTTCCTGTAACGAGCCTCTAGTTTATAATATATACATATATATATATATATATATATATATATATATATATATAATTTATTTTTTTTTTTTTTAGTAAAGTGAGAATAGAGTGAGCATATCTCAACAGGATAAAGGTCATATGTGACAAACCCACAGTCAACATCATTCTCGATGGGCAAAAGCTAAAAACATTTCCCTTGAGTTAGAAACACAACAGGGATGTCTGCTTTCAGCAGTTTTATTAAACATGGTACTGGAAATCCTAGCCACAACTATCATCAAGGAGAAAAAAAAGGCATCCATTGGGAAAGGAAGAATTAAAACTGTGATTATTTGCAGATGACATGATATTGTATATAGGGAACCCTAAAGATTCCACCAATATACTATTAGAACTGATAAATAAAAGTTGGAGGATAGAGAGAAATATGTAAATTGACCATCACTTCCTGATGCCCACAGCCAATCAGGAGTGAATATGCAAATAAATCCAGCAAAGATGGTGGTAGCTCCACCCGCCAACTGCTCTGGGCCTCTGGGCAGCGAGCCTCCTCTGGGCCTCTCTGCCACACTCCACACATGCCAACCTGTGGCCCAGCACCTGGCCTCAGAGGCAACCCTCTGGTGCCTAAGGTAGCTCCCAGTGTCTGGCATCTCCCTCTACCCACCCCTGCCCAGCTGCTCTGGTAAACAAAACCCTGGCATTGGAGCAGCCCCATAGGTGGGGACACACAGCCTGCTCAGTGCACAGTTAGCGTGCCCAGGAGCCCCAGGCCAGCCAAGGGGTGATGGTGGCAGCCAGTAGAGGCAGGCAGCAGGCCAGGCAGCTCAGCTTTGTTTTGTATAGATGAAAGAAGCCACCTACACAGTAACAAATTATCAGATCTCCCTTCTCCCTATCTCGCCAAATCAAGAGGACAGGACGATGGGCATGGAGGGAGGGTCGGGGGGGGGGGGGCAGAAGGCAGAAGGTGGAGGAGGAAGGGGATGAGAAAGGGGGCCAGTTGCATCCCACTTTCACTATGGGAAAGTGAAACGCACCAGCATACCCAACTCTCCAGTCCTCCCTGCCTGCCTTGCTCCCCCACCTCTTCCCCTCCATGGCTCCATGGGAGAGCCAGCATTGCACAGAGGAACTCTTCAGAGAAGGAGGGCTAAAAGGAAGCAACACCAGGAGCGAGCCCGAGGCATGCTTGCAGCCAGGGGAAGGAAGGCCTATTCTTGCAGGAATCTTTGTGCATTGAGCTTCTGGTATAATATAAATATGCAGAAATCAGTTCCATTTTATACACCAATAATGAACTATCAGAAAGGCAAACTAAGAAAACAATCCCATTTGCAATTGCTTAAAAAACATCAACCTAGCAGTGATTTAACAAAGAATGTATAAAACCTATACTTGGAAAATTATAAGACACTTGGTAATACTTGTATTCTATTTTTTAAATATTGGGCAATTATTATAACTATAGGAATTTATTAAGTAGAGGGACATGATCTAATTCAGGTTTTGAAAAGACCACACTGGCAGCTGCAAGGAGTTTGAATGGAAGGAAGAAAACAGATTGGAGGCTTTTCTAGGAGCATGAGTAAAGGATGGCAGCAGGGAAGGTTTGTGGGAGAGGAGAACAAATTATGCAGATTCAGAACATGTTCTGGAGTTAGAACTGAAGAAAACTTGCTCCTCAGTCCGATGTACAATTGAGGGAAAAGGAGGAAATTACAGTGGCTGTCAGTTGTGGCTTGAGCAAATTGGAGGTGTACTGGAGCAATTTATGGATGCTGGAGACACTGGGGGAGAATTTGAAATTTGTTTGGTTAAGTTTGAGAAACTTTGGGGAATTGAGAGCTTAACAACATCTTAAATGTTCATCCAAGAAGAGATTTCAAATAAGCAGTTACACAACAATGGTGTTCAAGTTAAGGGAAAAGGCAGAATAAGGACACCTAGGGAGAAAACACCCACTGCCATTATACAAGATGGTTTGTCTTTATTCACCATCAGTGGCATGTGTTGGAAGGAATATGTAGTTAAAGTCTGAATGAAATGTGCTTGAATACCAACTATCCCATTAAATATTGTCTCTTAAGCTGTCTTCACTTCATTATAATTAAAAATTTAACTAACATTTTCTCACTAGTTTTTATAGTGACTATTTTTGCTCCAGGTAAGCAAATATTTATATACCATGTCTCCTTGAAGACATCTATGTTTCCTTAAATTTAAAGTTAGTTGTCTGAAAAACTCATCTCTCTGAGGGGTTCAAGTGAAGTTACGATTTTGCATTTTACTTACTAAGTACTTGCTTGCTAGAGTGAGAATGATGCTCTTTCCATATTTTTGCATTAAACAGAAGTGCTGCAAGCCTACACATAAGACATTTGAGATGCTGATAGAACAACTACGTTTTACATGTTTTAACTAAATTTTCAATTGTCCTATCTATATATTCAAATTAGGACCAAGGCATTGAATTAAAAAACTTATAGCTTTATCAACTTCAATATAATTATTGAAACAAAGCAAGAATGGATGAGATTGCTCAAGGGGTATTTATAGATTTATTATGAAATTCTAAAACTTTTGTTATGCTATCACATTTCCCCCCCTTTTCACAGTTTTTACTTCTTACATTTTGATTTTTCCATCTCGTGAGCTTATGTGGTTTGTTTCTTCTATAGATAATTCACATAAGTGCTTGTTCTTCCAAAGTGATAGGTGCAGATAAAATTAGTATTTTTTTTTTCTTCACAGGAATTCCGAGTGTACAACACTACCAAGCTAGCTGTAAAAGACTTGTCTTTGAATTTATATGAGGGGCAGATCACTGTTCTTCTAGGACCTAATGGGGCAGGAAAATCTACTACTCTAGCTGTTCTCTCAGGTATGTATTTAACTCTGGTCAGAGGGTGTGCTCACATAGACACTGTAGACTAAGCTTCCACATTTTTATGAATCCATTTAATGTTAATAGTTTAGTCATTAAATGATATATAAATTTGTTTAGTAACACTCCATCTTCTTAAGTTGTGAATGACTTGAGAGAGATACCAGGTGTCAGATTTTGTAAAGACATCAAAGTATCCATTATAAACGTGTTCAAAAAACAAAGAATTTATATGCATATATGTGTAACACATGGACATAGACAATAGTGCAGTGAAGGGTGGGGTGGGCAGGAGTGGGGTGGAATGGGTCAATGGGGTAAAAAAAGGGGATATATGCAAAACTTTAAAGAATAAAGACAATTAAAAAGAACTAAAGGAAACTTATTAAAGAAATAATGGAAAGTATGAAAAATTCTCATTAAGTAGAAAGTATAATAGAAAAATTGAAATTATTTTTATTTTATTGTTAATCCCCGCTTGAGGATATATATATATATTTTTTTATTGAGAGAGAGAGAGTAGAATAGAGGGAAGGGGAGAGAGAGAAAAACATCAATGTGAGAGAGACACACTGATTGCTTACGTACTACATGCACCCTGACCAGGGCCAGGGGACAAACCCACAACCCAAGTACATGCCCTTGACCGGGAGTTGAACCTATGATCCTTTGTTTCACAGGCCAGTGCTCTAACCACTAAGGAGCATTGGCCAGGGCAAGAGATTATTTTTAAAAAACCAAGTGGATGGAGGTAGGGGAAGAGATCAACCAAAGGACTTGTGTGCATACATTTGGGCCTAGCCAGTGGCCATGGACAATGGGGGTTGGAAGGGATGCATATCTAGGGAGGGGTTTGGGATGGGAATGGGGAATAAGGACAATTATGTGAGACCATAATCAATAATAATTTAAAAAATCAAATAACTAAATAAATAACTAAATAGATAAATAAATAAATAAAATAAAAACCAAGTGGAGATTCTGGAGCTTAAAAGCACAATAACAAAAATATATTAAGAAGCTTATCGATAGATTAGAATTGTCAGATAGAATCAGTGAACTTGAAGATAGACTGATAGAGGTTATACAGTCTGAAAAAAAAAAAAAACAGGGAAAAAGAATTAATAAAAATTAACATAGGTAAGAGATCCAAAATGGCAGTGGAGCAGGTGGAAATTACACTCACCTCCTCACAGGAATGAATTGGAATAACAGCTAAGTTATAGAACAATCAACCTGAATATCTAACTGACGATTAGCTGAACAGAAGTCTTATAACCAAGGATTTACAGAAGAAGCCACTTTGAGACTGTAGAAGGACAGAGATATGAAAAGATCTGGCCCTGTAGCCACATATAGCTGCTGAGAATCAGGAGGGATATCTTATCAGCAAAGGTGACCCCTAAAGATTGTGGGGTCTCAACCCCATGTAGAGCTCCTCAGCATAGAGCACCAGAACTGAAAGAGGAGACCGCATAAAATCTGGCTGTGAAAATCAGCAAGGATTCTGTCTTCCAGGGAGAGAGAAGGGAGTCTGCTTGAAACCCAGGCAAACTTTTAAAGGGCCAGTGAACTAAGTATCATTTGTAGCCACTCACCCTGGGCTTTGGTAGAGGGAGAGTAGTTCAGAATGGGTGTGAGTCATACAAAAAGGAAATGGGTTGAAGTTCCAGGGAGAGAGCCGAAAGGACAGCCACCAGGGTCTGTTCTGAGTTCCTTCCCCACACCACCCACTGACACCATTTTCCCTGGGACAAGGACTCCTCCCCAAATGACATTAGCCTGGTAGAATGCAATAGTCACTCCTTTCCTATTCCCTGTTGCCCTGCCAAGCTCATGCCCTGCAGTGGAGACTTTTCTAATGGCTTCTTGAGGAGGTTTAGACAAACTTACAATGTATTAGAGACTTAGTTGTGTGGCTCTGGGGTGAGGTCCATTTACTCTCCCATATACCTGACTAGTGTCTCCCCCTGCCAGGGCATAGATCCACTATTCTCACCTTCTCAACTCCTGGTGGCCTGCTGATCTCATGCCCTTCAGAGAAGTCTGATGAGTATTGCCAGCCTGGCTTTGTGATGCAGACTTCATGGAAGACTCTCAAGGAGGTCAAAGCAAAATTGCAGCAGACTGAGTTGTGTGGCTTTAGAGCAGGGGCCATTTATCTCTTGCACACACTACAGGTGCCACTGTTTCTGTACAGAGCCCCTCCTCCATGTGGGCAAATCTTGGTCTGATAGGGCCTGATGAACTCTGCTGGCTTCTCCTGAATATGTCTCTGAGACCCTTCCATACCACAAAGTTCTGTGGATACCCAGCAGTTGATGAGTAGCATTATTGTAATCTTGGCCTCAGACCAAGCTCTGGCTTCATATGTATCAGTCTGATGACCACTATTCATCCCTACCTGGTGATTTACTGAGAAACTGCCTCATGCAACTCATGTACCACCAAGAAGCTCCTTCAGTGATGGGGCCTAACAGGTAACCAGTAAGCTGGTGCCTTGGGCCTTTTTCCAACTTGTCCCCAGGATTGGTGCTGGGGGATGTGAACCATGGTGTGTAGCTTGGTTAATCTCATGCATAGCCATGCACTGCAGAGGCAACCAAAAACTGTGGATCACTTTATAGTACTCAACTAATAACTGAGGGCCAGTCACAGGCAGTTCCTAATGTTGAACTGCATCAGAGTCATGGCCAAGATAACCCAGAGCCAATACACCTGATGGTATGCTTCAGACCACAGAGAGCATGACCGATGTATCTCCACAACATCACAAAAAGGAAATATCAGCACGCACCATATCCTGCTAGGGACAATTCTGTTTCATGTGGTAGCCCTGGCACAGCAGTTTGCTCACCATGGTTGGGGTTGATGATCATAGTCAATTTGCCTGAGGGTTGGCACCACATCACAGAAGAACCAAAAAACAATCAAGACTTAATTACAACACGAGAGCTCTCATAACCCACACAAGGGACACTCCTAGAGCACCTAGCTCAGGTGATAAGGAAGATTTTAATGCTGAGCTCCACTACATACCTGCTACATAAGACTACCATGCCAAGACTAGGAGACACAACAGATCTACCTGATATACACAAATGAGTACAGAGAGGCAGCAAAAATAGGGAGACAAAGAAACATGAGCCAAATGAAAGGACTAGAGAAATCCCCAGAAGAAGAACTAAATGAAACAGAGGTAAACAATGGCTGATACAAGTTCAAAGCAATGACTATGAAGATTCTCAAGAAACTTAGAACTTAGAGAGAATTTCACCAAAGAGGTCGTAATCATAAAAAAAGGACATAGAGAGAAACCAAGATGGCAGCATAGGTAAACACATGAACTGCTGCCTTGCACAATTTCTAAACCACAAGTAAAAGACAAAACAGACATCATCTAGAACCACAGGAATGAGAATCTATATCAAATGAAATTATACAACTGTAAGGGAAAAGAAAAGCACACTGAGAACCACAGGAGTTGTGGAAGTACAGAGGTACAGAGGCGCACACATGGAGAGAGGGCTGGTAACTGAGTACACGGCTGGCTTTCTCAATCAGGAGGGAGACACAAGCTCCCAACTACTCTGGACTCCAGTTCCAGATGAGACTCTAGGGACCCAGTCTCATACAGGGAGAAACTGGACTCTCTCTGGTAGTGGGAAAAACTCAAGGGCAGCTTTCTCTCAGAGGTGCTTGCAGGTATTACCATGGACACTGAGACCAATGGGCCTCTTAAGGAAGTGTTGACAGGAAGCCATTGCTGTTTGCTCCACCCTGAGACTCTGCCACTTCCAAGCTCAGCGCAGATGCTTTTGCACATGAATGGACTGGTCCTTTGAATTCTAAACATACCTAACAAACTGCAGCTGAGTCAGTGAGACCCAGAACATCTAAAACAAAGCCCAAGGCCCCACAGCAGCTTGCACTGCTTCATAACTGGGCCTCATCTGGGCACCTCCGAAAACCAAACAAAGAAGAGGAATCTGCAGATCTTTTCATAACTCCTGCTGGGTGGCCTCAGGCAGAGGCTAAATTAGCACCTCCTTGGAGATCCAAGAGCCAGTGTACCCAGGGGTCAGAATAGGACCATCCAGATTACAACTTCTCAGATCCATAAGGGACACACTCAGGGGGCAGACTCAGTGAGCACCGAAGCCCCACTGAAGCAAGCCCTGCCCCATGAGGGTGTCTCCAGCACAGAAGTTCTCCCATCATAGACACAGCTGATTCTCACTCTCAATTGGCCTGGAGGTCAATTCCTCCCAATGATACCAACAACAATCAAGGCTTAACTACAGCAAGATTGTGCACACAGCCCACAAAGGGATGCACCAAGAGTGTCCACCTCAAGTAACTGGAGAGGCTGACCACTGGGCCCTATAGGACTTTTGGCACACAAAACCACTCTGTCAACTCAGGAAAGCAGCCAAAATGCAGAGACAAAGAAGCAGGTCACAAATGAAAGAAATGTAGGAAAACAAATGACTGGATATAGAGTTCAAAACCACAGTTATAAGGTTTTTCAAGAATTTTCTAGAAAAGGCTGATAAAAAAAAGTGAGACCCTTGAGGATATGAAAAAGGACCAACTAGAAACTAAGCATACACTGACACTGACTGAAATAAAAAATAATATACAGAGATCCAACAGCAGACTAGAGGATCGCAAGAACCAAGTCAAAGATTTGAAATACAAAGAAGCAAAAAAACAAAACAAAACACCCAACTGGAAAAGAAAAAAGAATCCAAAAATATGAAGATAGTGTAAGGAGCCTCTGAGACAACAAGCATACTGAATTACGGGAGTGCCAGAAGAGGAGAGAGAGCAAGATACTGAAAACCTATTTGAAGGAAAATTGACAGAAAACTTCCCCAACCTGGTGAAGAAATAGACTTACAAGTCCAGGAAGCACAAAGAATGCCAAACAAGAGGAATCCAAAGAGGACCACACCAAGACACATCATAATTAATATGCCAAGAGCAAAACACAA